TTTCTTGGAGCGCAATAATCTCTGTGTTTCCACGAGGTCGAGAGGCCGAAGCATCTGTTCTCAATCACAGCTCAGAAACATCAGCATGCATCACCGAGGAGAACTGTGCGGTGTGAAAACAAAAGGAAACACGGTTAAATCAGCGTGTATTCCCCGTGGTTGTGACATAACGTGATGAAGCACGAGTGTTCAGCCAGTGTCTGCAATGCGTTGTTTGGGTGGAGAACTGTTTTTATACAGTATATGGTTGAGAAGTGCACTTGGTTGCCAAGTTACCATAAAAACAAAAAGAATTTGAAAAAGAATATGATGATGTCGCCACATTTTACGAAATTACATCACCCATTAGTGATGCACCAGTGAAATCATTTCATTACATCATTTAATACCAAAACAAAAGACTCTGAAATGCATTTCATAAAGAAAACAGCGGCGCTTTTATTCCATTGACAGCTGTTTTAAGGTTTATAAAATGCCAAGTCAATTTTTAAAGCTGTTTACAATTTAAAAACTGTTTAAAAACAGCTGAACATTTACACCGTTATTAATTTGGATTATCATTATTGATTATGGATTTTTAATGATTACGTATCCTATTGATTTATGGCTTTTCAACCATAAAACACAAATCAATTGAAGAAACAGTTAAAAGTAAGCAAACACAAAAATATCAAATCATTGTTTAGGCTAACACTAATTGTGAGTCTGGAATATTAAAATAGCCTATTATAGAATTTTAGAAAAGGCCCAGCAGAGGTTGTACTTCCTTCGTCAACTAGTAGGCCCTAGTTAACTAATGTCAATAAATGGATCCTTATTGCAAAGTACTCCCAGTTCCAATTTCCACAGAAAACAAGACAACTGAACTAGACTGAGATAAAGCACAACTACTCGAAAGAATTGTATGTGCAAGAAAAAAAAAATCTGTTGATATAGCCTATGTTCAAATTAATGAGTTGTCCGGGAAGAATAACAGGCATCTCCTTCACTCTCTCAGTCCATAAAAACACTCAAAGTGAGAACATCATGTGACTGAACTTGGCTCGAGTATAAAGGGTATAAGCCGGGGCGGCTGCTCTTCTTGATTGAAACCGATGGGAGGAAATGACTCGGGCATGGTCTTCATACCACGCAGTACATGTCAGTGTGTGGCCGGCCTTCTGGATGAAGTTTCTGTAATAAATTACAAACATTTTATACTGACTGCACCATTTAATTCTTTAATGCAATGTGATTGTCATTTTTAAACTTCTGTAACTCCTTAACTCTAAATATTAACATTTGGCACATAACCAGCCGTCTTGTGCTACAAACATAAATAGCCTACTTTTTTTTTGGGAGTGTGAATATATCGCTAAGCGTAACCAGCGTTTCTGTAAGGGAAGGAATGAGCCATGAATCACATTCCGATCGTTTCAGCGATCCGGGGCTTTGGAGGCCCATCAGCCTCTAACTTTACTCGTTTCCAAGGATTTATGTGTAGCTGCTGTCAGAAACTTTCTTCTTTAAAGTAATCGTTACACTTTTAAAGTTTGGTGTTAGTAAGATTATTATTATTATAATTTTTTTGGGAAATAAATGAATACCTTTATTAATCAAGGATGCATTAAATTGATCAAAAGTGACAGTAAAGACATTTATAATGTTACAAAAGATTTCTATTTCAAATAAATGCTGTTCTTCTGAACTTTCTATTCATCAAAAAAACCTAAAAAATAAAATGCATCGCAGTTTCCACAAAAATATGAAGCTGTACAACTGTTTTCAACATTGATAATAATCAGAAATGTTTCTAGAGCAATAAATCAGCATATTATCATGATTTCTGAAGATCATGTGACACTGAAGACTGGAGGAATGATGCTGAAAATTCAGCTGTGATCACAGCAATTAATTACATTTTACAATATACTGTAATACAGTAGAAAACACTTATTTTGAATTATAATAATATTTGACAATATTACTGTTTTTACTGTATTTCTGGTCAATTTACTGCAGCCATATTGTGATCTCAAGGTATACATTTCAAAAATTGAATTAGTTTATGTTCCCCTGGATCCAAACCCATGATTTTCATTGCCAGTTGAGCTACAGGAAAAATAACAACAAATCCACATAATTCCTAAACAAACTTCCAGAGAAAGACTAACAGATGGTTTCTTCAATAAACTAGTCACATTTTGTTTGGAAAAGCCCTCCTGTCTCAGAGCAGATGGTCCCATTACACAAATCCAGATGAGTGATCATGAGTGTCTTTAGAAATGACAGTGTTTGAGTTTCTCTGATTTAATGGTGAACGTGTCATTTCTGCTCCATTAGCACAACCAAACAGAACTGTATAACCAGGTTTCTCACTGGACAGCCCGTTCACTTCAAAAACAACAACGATAACTGTATTAGCGTCCACAGCAATAGACGGTGAAGTTCTGTTTATTACAAGCTCGCACTAGTTTTGTCTCTGCCACTTTAAATGCTCGCGCTCTTTAACTGCTTTATCGTTCATCGCTGGGAAAATATGTTTTGTAAAGTCCTGTTCCTACCAAGGACGGTAACAGTAACGTTAACGGTAAAGGAATCAAAACGATTTTTCCAGCTGATGAACGATAAAAACATTGACAGCCAATCAGAATCCATTCTCATTTAAAGACCGTGACGACAAAATTTAAACTGCAGCTAGCGCTTATAGCTAGTAAACAGAATGTTATCGTGTGTTGTGGATGCTAATACTGTGTATCATTCTTGGAGTGAACATGTAACCTCCCGGGTCCTACTCGCACCTGCTCTGAGCTGGACTCGAACCCGGGTTGCCGGGTGCACAAAACAAGGAGGCTAAAGACTGCAGCCTCTGACTAGCGTCAGTCGCTAGTGTACCTCTTGAGATCAAGGGAGTGAGGTTTACCTGCACAGCACCTAGCAGATGGCCTCTGTTACACTCACCCCCCTAAACCTCATTCACATCCGGGTCACGGCACCAATGTAACCCCTCCCCGGGTCCTATTTGCACCCGTGCCGAGCGGGACTCGAACCCAGGTTGCTAGCATAGGAGGCGGGCGCACTAACAAGAAGGCTAAAGACCGCAGCCTCTAGCATCAGTCACTGCACCTCTTGAGATCAGGGGAGTGAGGTTTACCTGCACAGCACAGCATGTCCTCCATTACAAACGGGCCTAAGCTAATAATTGAACATAGCCTAAATCACACACCTTTAATGCAATTCAAAGTCAACCTTCAAACTCTGAAAAAGACCTTGTGTGTGACAGCTGGAAGATGTATTGAGGAAGCAGCTATCATTGAGGAAATGCCAGTTTCTTGTCCAAAAACAGAGATGGCACGGCCCGAAAGCATGAAGTCCAGACGTTCCTGCTGATTATTGCCATCCTCAGCCTGCAAGCGCAAGCTTTATGCATTTGAGCATGTTTTGACAATCTGCTCTCAGTTTAAACTAGATCTGTTTTGAAATATAACATTTGTGATGTTGAGGTTTATTAAACAAATTAGTATTTAAAAAAAAACAATTAATGCAGAAATGTAAGTTTACATTACACACAATATTTAATTGATCCAATGATAAATATGATGTCAACACAACTCATCAAAATTTGAGCTTTTTAAATCAATAACTCAGAACTTTTAACGTAACTTCATTTAGGGGTTTGTTCAAAGTGAGCACAATCTCATACTTGACTTATTCAACTACAAAAAAAAGAAAAGAAAAAAGGAATGAATTAGAAGGTGAAAAGTGTCTCTGACATGACTTATAATTTTAGTCAAACAATTCCACTGACTCCCAAATTGCTAATATTAAAGCACATTTCATACAATTTCACTTTATGCTGTTGTTATCATCTTCAACACTTTTATGTTATTTGTGAAACTACAACTATATTTTAAAACATTTAGATATGTAAACTTACTGTGTGCACTTACATGTGCATCTCCCATTAAAAAAATGTTGACCAGCGTTTTGCATCTCCAAATTACTGGAACTGCACTAAAGTAGGCTACTTAAGGTTTATAAGCTACGTTTTCATTTTGTAACAATTATAAAGTCTTGAGAAGTTGGTTTCATTTTATTGGATGAATTAGATTCTTAAATGTTCAGTCTTTATTTCAGATTACAACGTTATAAAGGGTCAACAAACAAAACCCCCATCTGTTTTTAATGTTCTGGATTTTTATTTTATTGTATTTTTTTGCTTTCCACTTTCCAGATTGATTTGCAGATCGCACTAATTAAATGCGTGACACTAATGTATACCTGATGGATAAATCAAGACATGCAACATACATTTTTTCGTCATTTTCAATACAGTAACTTTCCAAAAGTATGTCAAAGTTGAAGAAATTATTTTGTGCAGTTCTACCAAAACGAAATGTGACTTATAAAATGTAGCCAAAAGTGAAAACCAAAGTATAAATCACTGAGAAGTGTAACATTCCTTATTAAATACGCATACAAACAAATCCCAGAACATCAGTGCTTTTGTGTTAACATGTGTTTAGCTCACATCAACAACCTGTCACCAGCTTCCATGAATACATCCATGAACTTTACAGCACCGTTGAGAAATGATGTCTAATACGAAACGATTTTCAATGCTGTTTCTCAGAGGACACATTATTAAAAACAATAGCTTGGCCAAATGGAGCATGCAGATGCTGTACAGTTATTTAAAACCATAGTTTTTAAATAATCATTAGACCAGAAAAAGTGAACTTCCTTAGGGAAAGAGTAATTTCCTAACCCCAAGTACAACAGCTAAAGAGCAAGGAGAACTACTGTATTCTATTGTCCCTTTTCAAAAGCTTTAACTGTTACGGATGTGCTCAGCTTTAGTGCTTCAACTTTCCAATGGCAGCAAGAGCGCCAAACAAGTAACAGGAAAACCCTGCTTGTATTGAGAATTAATAGTTCTATTATACATGTCTAGTAAAGCAAACACGTCTATAGGGAAAAGCATTGTGTTTGACTTTTGTTGAGGAATTCCTGTAGCTCAGCTGGTAGAGTCAAAGTCACTGGTTTGATTACCAGAGAACGCACATACTTACGAACGTGCAATTATCCTCTGCGGTGAATGGGTGCCGCCAGAATGAGAGTCCAAACAGCTGATAAAAACATCACAATAATCCACACCACTCCAGTCCATCAGTTAATGTCTTCCATCATTGTAATGTAAATCCATCATTAAGACGTTTTTAAGTTGTGGATTATTGAGACGTTTTTATCAGATGTTTGGACTCTCATTCTGACGGCACCCATTCACTGCAGAGGATCCACTGTTGAACAAGTGAAGGAATTTTTATTTTTGGGAGAACTATTTCTTTAAGCAGGGTCCAAAATACTTTGTATTTACCCACACCTGGTGAATTGAGAAAATCATGAAACTATATTCTGCATTTTATTTTGGTTCCTTATTGAAAAGTAAAGTGGTGACAGGAAGAATCTAGAGAGGTGGGATCAGAGATTACCAGAGCCGGATTTGAACTTGGGTTGCTCAAACAAAAACAGTATTGTGCACCATATCAGAGAACATACACAAATCTTCAGACTGCAAATCCTCCAACATTCTGCATTATTTTTTACTTTGTCCCAATCACACATTTGGCTCCTAGCAATATAGCTCAGCCAAAAATGAAAAAATCTGTCATCATTTACTCACTCTCATGTCATTCCAAACCTGTAGGACTTTCTTCTGCAGAGCACAAAAGAAGATTGCTTAGACACTTGAGCTATTTTAGAAAACAAATCAGATTCCTGGATTGTCTGCTAAAATCACTGTAACTTTTTTTATTTTATTTTTGGTCTTTTTTTTTCTTTCCATCTGGAAAGCGCTGATCCTGGAATAGTAACAACTGCTTCCAGAATAAAACTGGATGTTCTCACTACTCAATGAACTACAAGCAGAAATATCTGTTTGAGATCAGCGTTCTTCCCAAGACTGTTTTCTATTCAGCGATGGTCATAATAAATTATGTCAAGCTGCAAAAAAGTCAAGTGTGAAACAGCAAATGGTAGAAAAGCTTATAGGTTCTGACTTGGAATGAATTATGGGAACTTGACTAATTTATACAAATTTCTCTCTTTTTATTTTCAAAAATGGTGCATTACATATTTTGTTCTCCATTTGAGAAGCCAAAACATTTCTGCAGATAAATATTTATGGATTTGCAAATATAAATACATTTAATGCCATCTATAGGTACATATTTACAAATGAAATGTGTGTAGGCTACATGGATTCAAAAAGTGATAACATTGAAATTTAAAGTAATGTTTAATATTGTATGACCTTTAATCAGTGTTGTTATTGTTGTAACTAAAAGTATTTTTAAAACTTGTAATAACTATTAATCAATTTATAATTAACAACTATTATTAATAGCTATTAAAAATAGTTGTATAAATTTATTAAAATTTTATTTTAGATAAAAACAATTAATGATAATATAAAGCTTAAATAAAATAAAATATAAATATTTGATGAAAATCTTAAACCAAAAAATGAAAATGTTGTCTTGGTAATTAACGGAAATTATGAAAACAGGAAATATAACTAATTTAAAGATATGCAGAAATATAAAAAAAATTATAAAAATGACAAACATCAAATTACTTGAACTAGAAATAAAATTAAAACTGAAAAAAATATTATTATTAATATCATCATTCACTGTAAATTTTTGTTTGCTGCAATTATAAATTTAAATTTGTTGGGATAGCTTAAATATCCAACTTAAACAAAACTAAAGTTAACTAAACTAAATTCTTTGATCATTTTAAGTTGAAACAACACATTATTACTTATTCTAATATTGAATTTTAAGTAGTGTTAACTAATCCCAGTATATCATTCACTGTAAATTTTTGTTTGCTGCAATTATAAATTTAAATTTGTTGGGATAGCTTAAATATCCAACTTAAAAAAACTAAAGTTAACTAAACTAAATTCTTTGATCATTTTAAGTTGAAACAACACATTATTACTTATTCTAATATTGAATTTTAAGTAGTGTTAACTAATCCCAGTAATCTTTTTTTTTTCTTCCAGTGGATAATACTAAAATAACACTGTCTGTGACATACTGTTGATTCCCAGAGAACAGTTATTTTTAGATAAACGTTCATTGAGCAAAGAATTCTGGAGAAATTATGAAACTTTACTAGGCCTACACATTGCACGCAGACTCTCTTGAACAGACTATTAAAACTATTAAATGTTCATATGTTTTATAATGAATCCAGCTCTCGTGTGGTTTTGTCACCAGAAGCACGTCAGCAGTGAAGTCAGTGCGAGTTACTCACGACTGCAGAAACGAGCGCTGCTGCTGCAAGACAGAGTTACTCACTGCAGACGAACTTCACTTACACACATTCATTCACTGCTGTTCGCTCCGACGTTATAGCAGCATCATAATAAAACAAGACTTTCACCACAGGCTAGTTGTGAAACATGTTGGAAAGGGAAGTTTCTTGAGGTCATAGTAGCAATTAAAAAAGTTTACTGTCTGATGCATTTCCATAGAAACTAATGGCTAATGACTAATGAGGTTTATGTCCTTTATGCTTCAAAAACGGACATGAAGATATTTCAAAAAGTCTCCTTTTGCGCTCCCAGGAAGAAGGAAAGTTATACGGAAATAACATGAGGGTGAGTAAATGAAGACATAATCATCACTGAGTGAACTATCAGTTTAATAAGGTCACATGAGGTTGAAATGGAAAAATGGTAATCAGTTCTGTTTGATTTACAGTGGTTGGGAATGAACACAAAGGACTGGACAACTTCCAGATTGGATTTCCTCCCTGTGCAAAGTCTATTATTGTGGTGTACATGTTTTTGAATGATTTCTGAAGGACCACACTGTAAAAAAAATGACCGTGAATTTAACGGTAAAAGACTGTAAAAATGCTACAGTAAAAACCTGTTAAATGGTTAACAGTAAATTCCCCTACTATATACGATGAAAAACTGTATTGGACATTACATGTAATTTTACGGTAGTATACCGTTTTTGGAAGTGAAAAAGGCCATATAATTTACAGTGAATAACCGTAAATTGACATTCCCAGAATTCCCTGCGATACATTTCAAATAGGATGTTTTTTTTGTTGAAATAACTGTTTCTTCTTAGTATTTTCTTATCAGTTTTGTATATTAGCGTTGTGTGTTACATCTAATGTTGTTAAATGAATGTTTATTGCATTATTTCAGTTTCATGTGTGTTACCATGATGGTGTTTGGTGTTTGTGTGAATGACACTGTGCACCTTCTATATATGTTATTATCTAAAAGCTGCTTGTGATGGGCTTTGGTTCATCATGTGACTTTCTCATCACCACCTGCTTTTGGTGGTTATCAGTGTATTACAAAGGTACAAAACAGATTTCAGTACTTCAATAGGTTGGTATATTAACATTATATCAGTTAATGAAATTACGGTATTTAACTGTAAATTTAAGTTAAAACCGTAAAACCTAAAACGTTGCTACCGTATTTTTTACAGTAAAATTCCGGCAAACACAGCTGCCGTTTTTTTACCATAAATTTTACAGATTTTTTTTTTACAGTGCATGTGACACTGAAGACTGGAGTAATGATGCTGAAAATTCAAAGGAATAAGTTATATTTTAAAATATATTACAATAGAAAATAGCTATTCTAAATTGTAATACGTTTTCACAATATTACTGTATTTTTCATCCAATAAATGTAGCCTTGGTGAGCATTCTTTTAAAAACATTAACAATCTTAATTATTCCAAAGCTTTGACTGGTAGTGTAGACTTGTGAAGGAACTCTTTTTTTTTTCCTAGAGCTTTTTATTAATTCTCTTTTGACGCTTGTTGGAATCCAGTCATTTATGGTAAATTCACCTTTTGAGTCGTACTTCCTGACCTTCATTCCAGAATAATATAGCTTGGCTATACATCTAATGAGATTCTGATTTCCTAATTTATGATATGATCAGCACAGTTGGGGAGCTCTACCCAAAGACACAGGATATTTCAGGATTTAAAGGAATAGTTCACCATTTTACTCACCCTCATGTTGCTCTAAAACGTCTCAGGTTACTTATGTAACCATGGTTCCCTGAGTAGGGAACGAGACACTGCGTCCTCTACAGTCAAAGAACACTTTCGCACATCGCCTCGATGTTGGCATAACTCGTATGCAGGAATCGATGGATGCGTGAGGAAAAAAACGGCCTCTTCCATTCCTTCTCAATCTTTGTATGGAAAACAGGAAGAAAGGCTTTCTTTCTTTGATTGATCACAAAAAAATTCAGTTCTTTTCCATACAATGACAGTCTATAGTGAACAAATCTGCAAATCTCCAAACAAATACAATAACATTAACTTAAAAGAAGTGCATATGACTTCTATTAAATATATGCCTATATTTCAAGTGTTCCTATGTCATATGCATGTCTTGTTTGAGTATCAAAAACTATTTCTTTAAGTAAAGGCTTAAAGGGATAATTCACCCAAAATGAAAATTTGCTGAAATGTCCTCCCCCTCAGGCCATCCCAGATGTAGATGAGTTTGTTTCCTCATCAAACTTAGAGAAATGTAGCATTGCATCACTTGCTCAGCAATGGATCCTCTGCAGTGAATGGGTGCCGTCAGAATAAGAGTCCAAACAGCTGATAAAAACATCACAAGTAATCCACACCACTCCAGTCCATCAGTTAATGTCTTGTTAACACAAGTGATGTGATGCTACATTTCTCCAAATCTGTTCCCATGAAGATACAAATTCAGGTTCTGTCAACTCTACGCAGATCTAACTGTCTTCATTGTGTAGGATGCTTGTTTTTACCACATAGTTTTACCTCATATAGTCCTAATATTGCAGAACGAAAAGTTACAGAGAAATAGTTTGGAGCCAAACAGTCCAGCACAGTCTAACACACTGAAACCTTCTTCAACACATTACTGTGACTTTTCACCTCATCATGATTCTCAAACCTTGGTCACATGATCTGAATTTACACGCTTGTGCAAATTAATTTACTCACTGTCTATCTTCTCTATTGTCCACCATTCATTGCCTTAAATAGGAACTAACAATAAGAAGAATAAGAGACACACATGCCTTACAAAGTAAATAAAAGAAATCTAGAAATATAAACAGAAACATTTTTAATAAAGAGTAATATTTCAAGCATCCATCTCTTCATAACTCTATCATGCCACAGATATTGTATAGTCAAAGACCCATGAAAAATAAGACGTGGTCTACAATTGATTTCAATAGAGAAGATGTGAGAGGCATGCATAACAAATTGGATTAAAATAAATATTTTATCAATGCATATTAATTTTGGATGATTTATATATAAGTATACTCATTATCAACATTTCTAGTTTAATTTTTATTTTATTTTGCATATCATTTTCAATTCATTTGAAGCTTCCTTACATGCAATTTCACCAAAATTAGGTATTTTAAGAGTTGCCTACCTTTCGGAAAAGCATTTGGATTGGGAGTGATGTCTTAAAATGTTGCTTACGTAGGCAGCGCACTAGGTTTTGAAACCAAGCGTCAGATTCTTGTTTGTGAACTGCAAAGCAATAAAACGCATGTCAGATGTCAGCAGGTTCCAAAAACAAGATGAGGAAAGGAAAGGCAAGGGAGGATGTGTTTTACTGCTGTATCTGCAGGGTGAGAGCTAGAAGGCAACACTCAGTCCTTGCTTTGAATAAAAGCATCTGCAACAATTTTTTACAACAAATGCAACAAATTTACAACAATGTGCACATTGGCTATTAGGTTAAAAATAACACAGTGTTAAGTTAACTGGTGAACACAGGTCTTTGATTGTGATTTAGTAGATGCTTTTTGTAAAGTACTGAAGTACAGAAAGTACTGAAGAGTCACCCAAGAGAGACTGGAGTTAAGTGAATGACCCAAAAACATGTCCAAGTCATATTTAAGCCAAAGCCAAAAGAAAAACAAAAATACATTTTGCATAAAATAAATGAAGTAGCATTTTGATGACAATTAAGCACATTTTCTTTCATTTTTCCTCCATCCCTTTGTTTAAAAAAATCTAAATCTTCTCAATGATGATGATATTAGATGGTTTTAAAATATTTTTTACTGTATTAAATTTAGAAAATATTTAAATTCGAAACTGAATCAGTATAGTTAAACTATAATATAAAATGTATGATGTATTAAATTTAGAAAATATTTAAATTGGATACATTTTATATATATATACACACAGTGTTATATTATTTGTTATATTATTTAAACTGAGCTGGATGTTGACGTCACTGAATTCAATGATGAACTGTCTTTAGCTGAAAAATGAGTGCTTACTATTGTCATTTTGCATTATTGACACTATTTTCCTAATTAATGCTGTTCAGTTGCTTTGTCACAATCTGTATTGTTAAAAGCGCTATATAAATAAAGGTGACTTGACTTGACTTGACTATATATATTTATTTATATATTATGAATTTTAGTAAAAGTTCATCAAGTCCCCTTTTAGGGCCCCTTTTTAAGGTTTAAACAATTTAATGTTGTTTTGGCTTTAAATTCATGCCAAAAGTGTTTTCAAATACTTGTGATTATTTCAGATAATTGTAATTATATGGAGAACAAAAACTGTGAAATCAGTCAATTCGTGTCCTGTCTTGATTGAGTGACCACTAGATACAAGCCTACAACACTTCTGATAGTTAAAGTGATCTCTTTTTTTTTGGAATAATGAAATCTTTTTCTGACAAACCCATTAACTTCTACCTGTGGAGCAAAAGATAACATCAAATAATTCTCATACTGTTTCATCTGGATGTTGTCTAATACATTCCCTTCGACTGCTTCTTTCTAGGTGCAAAAGGTTTTACTACTCTGTGAAAAGAAAAGAGGAACATCCTTCCTTTCTTCCTGAGGATATGACTGGAAAGAAAGCAGCGAAGCATGCTGTGACAATACCTGAACAGGAAGGATTTGACTGCGCCCTACTTGAGAATTAATATTACTTACTAATACACGTTTGGGAACCATTTCTAAATTAGACTAGATGATTACATTTTGATGATGTGAGTGGTGCTTGAACATGCAGAACTCACCGATTAAGAATGGAAAAGGGGTGACGGGACTGAATGACTGTTACTGGTGTTTCTCTCCAATTTCCTGTCATGAGAAGGTCACCAAAATAAGAACAGGAGCATCTCGCGAAAATCACTGAATTGGGAAATCAAATGGTTAACAATCACACAAAATGCAGTCCTATCTTTAATCAAAATCATAGTGGTTGCATGGGATTTAATAATGAGGCATTAGGGCCTCTTCATTTTGCCACAACGCCCATTTTCTGCCTGATTTATGTTGTGTTTTCATTCTTTGTCACTAATAAAACAATCCTAGTCTTCTTATGATTTCCTTTCATGGTCTGCTCTGGAGGGGAAAATGCAGACTGACATCTATGAACACTTCGTACATGATGAAAGTACAGCTCGTTTGAGGTGTGACGGACTATGAAAGGAAATGAGGAGAAAGTCTGTCTCAGGGTGGGCTGCGTTTATTCTTTGAATAATACTCTCAGTCACCATGCACACACCTACAAACCTTAAGCAGTATCAAAATCTAAACAAACTCCTTTTGTTGAAGGTACCTCTATCCACCCATGTTTCATTGAAGTCATGGAAACAAAAATATTGGAGAACAGTTAAATAGCCCTGTAGGATACTGATAAATGAATCGGACGTTTCCACCCTATGCAAGTCCTTACTCACTGTGCCCACTTGGAAAAAGGTTGAAAAGAGTCTAAATCTATCGGTGCATTGAATTCATCATGCTGGTGTTTTCCTTACTGTGACATTCCACGCTCAACACAAACCCCAAATTACACAACTGTAATGACAACTTTTATCTTACCAAATTTGCAAGTAAATCAAATTGTGCTTTAAAGTGAAAATGATTAAGCATTATTAAGGTTAAATAAAACATTCATCTTTCTGTCTATGTACAAGACAGTGGCCCTGAAAAGTATTTGGATGCATGAGTTACAAATAAACAAACAAATAAAATACAATAAATAAATTGCATCAGTTGACATTAGTTGACAAAATCAAAATCAATGTAAGTGTTAAGTTAAGCATGATTCAAGCATCCAAATACATTGACCAAAAGTTCAAAATACAAACTTTCTCATGGCAAATTATAAGAACAAACATTTGAGTGTGCATAATTATATTATTGAATGTGTTCATTAAAAAGAAAAGTATTTTTTTAAAGGAAAAGGAGCCTAATAAATAAAAATAAATTAAATTTGAAATAAAATATTCTTTGTAAAAAAAAATCTAAGTTATAAAAACAACGATTATTTAAGTATAAAATAGCCTACTATTTCAGTCTACTTCAAAATTGTACATTTAACTCAAAAGTGTAGCCTACTGTTTGTGAAATCACTAGCTAATTTTGAGTGAAACCCAAAATTTAATCTATGTCAAATGTTTCAGATAACCTCTCTATCTATTTTAGGGAAGCTATAGCTTGACCAAAACATAGTTAGGCGAAAATGGGACATTTATTCGCGGTAACTAATTTGGAAATTAAATCCTCAAGATGGATATCCAGTGTCCAAAACCATGCGCACCAGCAGGGATAGATAGGAAGAGAGAGAGAGAGAGAGAGAGAGAGAGAGAGAGAGAGGAAAAGAGAGAGAGAGGGTGTGTGTGTGTGGCGCTGCGGGATCTCTGCCAGATAACACGAACTTCCTTTAATTTTTGGAGACATGGATGTCATTATAAATGCGGCACGGCACACCTCGAACTCATGAACGTGCTATCAACACGCTGGTCACTTCTCCATAACTTCGTGAAGATATAACGTTATATAACGTGCCAGCAGAAATGAGAGACATCACAGTAATGGCGCTGGCGCTCGTTGTTCTGAGAGTTTGCGGGGAAAACATCAAAGACGGGTTTTGTGTTGATGGAAAATGCTTCGCCGTCCACCTAGACAGTGTGAGTTTTGACGCTGCGCAGCTCGTCTGTCAAGAGAAAGGAGGACATCTGATGACCGTGCGCTCCGAAAAAGCGGCCGATGTTCTCGGTGGGCTGTTGAGCGGCGCTTCTGGAGACTTTTGGCTTGGGCTGAAATATCAGTGTTCAGACTCAAACGATGGGTTGAAGGGATACAGATGGGTCACTGGAGACAACACAACCCACTACGTCAACTGGAAAAGCGACTTAACGGTTTGTTCTCCTCAATGTGTTTCGGTGTCACAAAAAGTTCTCAAATGGACCGAAAGAGCATGCAATGACAGAATCGAGGGTTATTTGTGCGAATACGACAACCCCGGTTACTGTCCGCCGCTTAGCATCGATGCACCAGTCTCATATCAAACTCATTTCGGATTTGCAGCAAAGGAAGAGCTCAAAGAGATTCCTCAATTCACCATTGGGACACTGCAGCCGCTGAGAACGAGACACATTTGTGTCGAAGGCGCATGGCTTCAAGCACCGTGGAGTTGTGAAGCTGCTGGTGGTGGATGTGATTATAAGTGCGTTCAGACAGGGCAAAGCTACGCCTGCATCTGTCAGCCTGGATTTAAACCCGACATCAACGGAGTCACATGCAGCAAGCAGGACGATGAGCCTTGCGCGCAAGCGGAATGTGAGCACGAGTGCGCACGACTTGGCGATGCATTCGTGTGCACGTGTCGCCCGGGGTTTCATCTAGGTGCAGATGGGAAGTCTTGCGAAGGCTGCAAACCCGGCTTTCACATTGAAGGTGGCGTTTGCGTGGATGATAACGAATGCGTGCTTGCACCGTGCGAGCACTACTGTAACAACACTGAAGGTAGCTATCACTGTGTGTGCTTTCAGGGATACATCCAGTCTGTGGAGGACATGCACAAATGTAATATGCTCTGTGCGGAAAGCAAATGCCCAGCTGACTGTGATCGCAACAACAAAGACCAGTGTGACTGCCCTGATGGTTTCCTACTTGAAGAGAAATTTTGCGTTGACATAGATGAATGCGATAGTGGTTACTGTGACCATGCATGTGACAATTCACCTGGAGGATTTCAGTGTTCTTGCGATGAAGGATTCGTGCTTCTAGGCAAGCTCCAATGTAGAGAAAACTTTGAGGGTTCAGGCAGCTCGAAGCCTTTTGATAGTTTTATACCTACGAGCAGATCTCCAACAGACAGGCCAGTGTCCATCTCAGCTGGCAGTCTTTTAGGAATAATGCTTTGCATTGTTCTTTGTATTCTTTTACTGGTCTGCCTCGCTCGCTGCATAATGAGACGTCTTAGTAAAATGCACCGTTATGATGTGGACAAAGGCCACCATGAAATCTTCGATTTTCAACAGGTGATCATTGAAAAACACAGCCTACAACAGACATTCCCAAGCAGATATATAAAAAGAGACACTTAAAGTCGGACGTCACGCAAACTGAAATGTAAATAGAACATAACAGTGAATATATTTGATTTTGTATGTAAACACAAATTTATTAGATATTTGATAATTACAAAAAAAATGTATATCCTCATTGAGAAATACTTGCGAACTATGACCAATTAATAAATAATAACCAACCAATTACTGATCACAACAGTAACATCTTAAAAGTGAACAATTGGGTTCTTTGTGGAAACTAATTTATGAATATGATATCCCCCAAATAAGTCGGCTACATTTTAAAATTGTGACTACTCTTATCAAAGGATGGATGTTCTCTGTTTATTTCAAACAAAAACATAGAATAATAATAAAAATAAATCTTTTTTTTGTGTGATTGAATTAGTTCACAATTATGAGCTGTAGTTTGTGTCAGTTCAGTATGTCTCCAAAGACTCCAAAAGACCTATACCTTTAGTGACAGTAGGCTGGGGACGACTTTTCTTGAATATACATAATTATGTTCTCTTGACAAAAACAATTCACATCCTTAATGAAGGCATTGACTGCATTTATATTGTGTTCAGCACAAAACCGCATATTCCAGATTACAGTTAAAATATCACTAGTGCCTCACATAAATGTATGTGTCAGATATAAAATATGTTAAATTACTTAGTAATTACTGAGTGGTTAAGGTGTTTTTCACTTTAAACTAATGGTCCAGATCACTAGTAGTTCCTGCAGGCTGACAAGGTAACGCTTGAGTAATTAGTGAGGGGCTACTGTATTTTTCACTTTAAAGCTAAAGTGCTACTAAGGAACTACTAGTGATCTGGACCATTATTTTAAAGTGAAAAACACGTTAACCCCTCAGTAATTACTCACAAGTAAATTAATAGGTTATTTAACATTTTATATCTGACACATACTGTACAGTCATACATTTGTGTGAAGCACTAGCAGGCATGTGCAAAAGGGGGAGCTTTGGGGGCTCAAGCCCCTGCCCTTTTTCAAAATTATTCAAAAGTGCCCCTCTCAAGACAAATAGCAAAGATATTGTAGTCAATAAAACAAAATGCATTTGAATTAATTAACATGACAATGTGTACAAAACGGTAACTAATGGTTCAAAACTCGGAAAATTCCTGTTTATTTTTACATATCTGTAAATCTGTCAATCTGAGGCGTTGCTGTGGGATGCGTGCGTTTTGCTTGACTGACTGATATTCCACAGTCTGTTCGGAAACCTACACTCTAAAAAATGCTGGGTTAAATATAACCCAGCGCTGGGTTAAAAAGGGACAAACCCAGTTATTGGGTTGTTTTGACCCAGCGGTTGGGTT